GACTTTATTCGTTTGTATTATTTAACTATCGTATCATAATCAATTAACTTGATTGAATCAAGTGGACTTAGGTATGAATACGTTGTTCCGATCCTTAATGTTGATGGCGGACGGACGCACAGAACGTGATGCAGACATGGAGAAAATCAGACTACAAGGTCTTCGATTGATATGGTTGACCCTTTAAATTAAATAAATATTTAAACATAGTGTAAATATCTATGAACTTGGACGAAATTGATTTTGATAGAATATATATAAATTCTTTATTTGTTTATGCAGTTGTCAAAAAGATGGACAGCACCCAATCTTGATTTTTACATTATGCATGAAATGTGCCAATTGTGTTGCGCTTAATTGAATATATAACAATGTGAATACCATGTCCGCAGAGTTAAATTGGCTGCAAATCTTTAAACATTCATGTTTTGAGACTTTCTATAACCTTTCGCCAAGCTATACTATCTCAGCAGTAAAATATTGGTGGTCATACACTTCGTAAATTTTTAGTTCTCTACAGTTTTAATGAACCTCGGAACAGTACCAGCTTTAAGGCATTCGACACTACACTATTTCTGTATCTTTGATTTTTCGTTCAGGGTACCTCCACACATTAAGTTATCAAGAATGTGGATTGGTGGTTTTCGGTATTACTCGGATTAAGCTTAAAATGAGTAGGGTAAGGAAGGGGTAGGAAGGTAATCTGAAAATCAGCTAATTTTTTACTGACGTAGTGTGTACTTATATGGACGTCCCTTTGCGACCTAACCCTAGTACCAGGTACCATTTAAATGCAGTCTGGAGTCAGTGCCTCTTGAAACTGAGCAGGAACATTTTATTGCTCCGTCTGGCCTAAAATATAGTATTTGATATTTCTAGAATTCGATTATTCGCTTGATTTTAGCATGAGTTAAGATATCTATTTCCTATATATATCAGACATATTTGTTTCCCTATTTCCAATAATATTATATAGGGTGCACTTTTAAAAATATCATTTTCCAAGCAACTTTCACATTGTTTTAATAGATTGGCCGATGATTACATTTTGAAATTGAATAGCTTTCATGGTTGCCAAACTATAAATCCTGTACACTAAAATCTGAAAGAACGACTATGTAAGACTATAAATACAGTCTAATAGCAGTTACTGTGCACCGTATATATGTGCTAAAATTGACTGACGTTTTCATATGATAAAACATTAGGCTTTTAATATATTTTGGGAGAAAGAATTTGAAGATTTATCGCAATAATTTATCTCGTACTCGACCATTTTGAGTCTGCATTTTTTCGAAATCTCGCGTTGCTAAATGCATGCGTCGGTACAGAGCTGCAACTAATTCGTGAAGAAGGTAATCAACTAATGCATTAGGTCGAAAATGGTACTTGCGTGGTTGTTATTTTTGTGTGACAATAGATTTCGATAATCTGAAACAGGGTATTGCCTGTTTCATATAGAATTTATGTAGCTCAACAGAATGCTAACGGTTAACATTCTGTTAAAATTTCAACTTTGAAAGTTCAAGAATCAAATTTCCATTAAACCGCGGTGTAATGGAAATTTGAACTTTAAGATATACATAGTTAAAAAAACTCGTTTAAAGTTTTAAATAAAGTTTTCTTTAAAATACATTTATGTATAAATTTCGTAGGTTGAGGAAATATGCGAGCGCAGTTTATTTGATTTCCGCCCATATCTATTCCGGTGTGATCATGTAAACAAGAGACTTTCACAGGCAAAGCTTATGGCCGGCAATCTCTTACATGGTCACACCATAATTTCAACATATTAAGCCCATGATATTAAATTTGTATTTATGTATTTACTTTAACAGCTGTGCCCGTCTATGTGCATCGCTATTTCGTTACATTTGGTGCCACCGTAATATCCACGTTCATCTTGGTTCCATGCGCTGTTTCGCTAATGGGTTTCTTTCAACCTTGCATGCCTCCTGCCTTAACCAGCGCAATGATTCTAAACTATCAGAATTGGGGGCATGACGGAGAAGCAGGGTTGCTGCTCAAATTCGGTTTAGGTGTTTATGAATTCTACGCCTGGCTGGTAATCATTGGTGCTGTAGGGATTGGTCTGTACGTCGCTTTACTATATCCGGTGGAGGTTAAGCTTCTCATTATAGATTACATTGAAAAGTAAGGGTTTTAAGTATTAGCACAATTTTATATTGAACAATTTATTTGTAAATTATTTACATGATTAGCGATGGTTTTTTAAATACTTAAAGGAACGAGATGGGAGTGAAACGGCCAACAAGTAGTTTCCATCTCTACAAGTATCGTGTGCTTCAGTTGATAAGTACCTACCAGAACAATACTTGGTGTCAACCGTCAGTTCCAGTCGGGATGGGAGGCGTTGCTGTGGCGGAAACTGTATCACTCTATATCTTGGTAACCTCGTACGACCAGGCACCTGTCATAATTCTGCTGTTGTTCTTAATCATTGCCTTGGATTGTTTTATGGTAATTCACGTGATTTGCAAAATTATGGCCACCCCGTACTCTAAATCTCGCAATTTTATTGAGTATATGAAGATAAGAAAATCCTCGAAATGGGTGAGACATTTTATTAGATCATGTCAACCATCAAAGTTGTCGATGGGGGATGGCACATTTTTCGACAGGTTGACGCCGTTTGTTATGTGGCAGAAATGTATCGACTTGTTAATTACACTCTTGCTAAAGTAGGCTAAAACCTCTAACGATGTATTTCCCCCAATGGTGTGAATTGTATTTGGCGATTTGTTATCTACATGCCTATGCTTAATTTTGATTAATAATTCGGATTTTATGGACCATGTCACGAATAAAATAAATGAGTGTATGCATATGTTTGATGGTAATAAAGTGTGTTCATTTAATTCGTTTAATTTAATTTAACTGAAATTAACTCACGACAGTTTAGTTGACTGTCTATGTTTAAAAATAGTTGTAAGTTCGTCAGTTGGTGATTTAGGCTAGAAATACTAAGGTAATACAGAGGGTGACCCATGTATTCGTGAGAGGATTTGCGAATTTTTCTAACCCAGTAGCGGATCGTTTTTAAGTGCGAAAAATGCTCGATATGATGGCCCTTCTTCTTAACTTTAAGAATGCATCGCTTTTTACCCGATAAAAGTATCTCCAGGGATTTTCTACGGTGTTTTTCTTCCACTCATTATTTTATGCGTTCCAAAACGAGTCAAAATTCGTAAATCGTCGAATGTAAAAATTCCCACTCCACGATGAAAACTTCGGAATACATAAACCAATAGGTCAATCTTTGATAACTAGCCAGGGTTGCTTTGATTTCTTACTGGAGGACCGGCAGTAATCGGCAGTAATGTGCAAAATTAAATAGTTGTTGAAAATAAGAAATTAGTTGGTGACAATAAATTGGGGTGTTGCTATTAAAAGAAATCATCCGTTTGTTGGTCACGTTATTATTACATACATACACGATAACGCTGTTCTACATTAATCTATATTATAATTTCTAAAAGTCCGTCCCGTGGAATTTTCCGTGACATCCCTGCATTCTGATTGGCTGTTGAAATTCTGGCTCCACCAATCAGGGAAGGGTTATAATTTCGGTTATGATTTCGGTTATGATTTCCATTATGATTTCGGTTATGATTTCGGTTATGATTTCGGTTATGATTTCGGTTATGATTTCGGTTATGATTTAGGTTATGATTTAGGTTATGATTTAGGTTATGATTTAGGTTATGATTTAGGTTATGATTTAGGTTGTGATTTTGGTTATGATTTCGGTTTAAAGAATCCTAAAAGTATTCGTTAGCTACCTGCAAAATTCACCCTACCCAAGTAAAATAAAATAAAATCCTAAAATTCCTATTTAGCAAAGTTAAAAAATTCCTTAGCAACGTTAAAAAATCCCTTGGCAACGTTAAAAAATTCTTCAGCAACGTTAAAAAATTTCCTTAGCACCGTTAACAAAACTCCTTAGCAACGTTAAAAAATTCCTTGACAATGTTTAAAAAATCCCTTAGCAACGTTAAAAAAGTTCCTTAGCAACATTAAAAAAATTCCTTAGCAACGTTAACAAAATTCCTTAGCAACATTAAAAAAATTCCTTCGCAACGTTAAAAAAATTCCTTAGCAACATTAAAAAAATTCCTTAGCAACGTTAACAAAATTCCTTAGCAAAGTTAACAAAATGCCCTAGCAACGTTAAAGAAATTTCTTAGCAACGTTAAAAAAATTCCTTAGTAACGTTAAAAAAATTCCTTAGCAACGTTAAAAAATTTCGTTAAAAAAACTCGCGCCGGTTACATATGTACTTCGTTAATCCAAAGATTTTGGTGGGTTCGTTTTAAACTCTAAATTTGGACCGTCTTTAAGACGGGCTTATAGGCTAGTGTAGAAATAATTGTTTCTTCCTCGACTTGCATAAGCATCACACAAACCGGGATAACCTCGCCGCTGGTCGTGGGAGTGGTTATCCAAAATATCTCTAAAGTCCATAGAATCTCCACGATGTATCGTGCTGCTAAACGATCGTCAGTATATACATAAATGCGTTCTCACGTCTATAATAATGAGCAGGCTGAACAGGTAGACAGATCGGAAAACCGGTGGACGGATAAAGTCTTCGCCTTATATGGCTTCACTTTACAATAAAAAAAAATTTCAATCGATTGATCGAGCTTAGTAGAAATTGATTTTGCTGGAATGTGTGCCAGATACAACGTCGGCTATTATTTATTTATTTTTGCAGTTGAAGATAAAGTTTGATAGTACCCGATTGTGTTTTTACATTATGTATGAGTTGCGCCAACCGAATTGCGCTTAATTGAATATATAACAATGTGAATACCATATGAATAGAGAACTAATCCTAAATTGGGCATTCATACATCTTTCATAATTCATATTTTATGTACGTTTCCCTATCACTTGGTCAAGCCACATATCTCTCCCAGCTCCACAGTAAAATGTTGGTTGTCGTGCACTTTATATTCATTTGTCTGCCATTTTGCATAACGGCCCAATCCCAGTACTAAATATTTTTTGTGCAGTTAGTCAGCATTTACATTGAGGAGCCAACATTTCATCCTTCGCACTGAATAATACTATAAGTTTGACATTTCATCAGCTCCACTATTCCCTAGATTGTTTGAGCTAAGATCTCAATTTCCGGCAAAGTCATCCTGCACGTAGCACATTTTTATCTATTTTGAATCGTATTGTTTTGGACTCACAAGGGACACTCACGACCTGTCGTTTGAGTCCAGGGTACCCACTATGTTTTTTAGAATCTACTAGGACCCCAGATGAAGGATTCATTCATATTTCCGTGTAAAACTTATATTTGGCGCCATGGCGTGGCGCTAAATTCGCCAAATTTGAAGGTTTTTCATTTTAAAACCGCCGTAACTTTTGAAATCCTGGACGGATTTTCAAAATTTTTGGCAAAAATCATGACAAGGAGTTCAACTTTCGTATTGTATGAAATTTTTTCCAAAATTATCGCTTTTAACTTTTCGCAAAATTTCGAAATTTCGGGTTCGTCGAAAAAATGCTAAAAATATCTCAAAAATTAAAATTTTTTTATTTTTATTTTTTTCTTTAAAATTTCGACTTTTCTGATCATTTTAAGCATAAAATTTTAAAAATCCGACATAAACTGCGAAAGTTATGGGGGTTTGAGATTGGTCGAAAATGCAAATTTTTAAGTTTGGCGCCACGCCATTGGGCCAAATATGAGTTTTACACGGAAATATGAATGAATCCTTCATCAGGGGTCCTAGTAGATTCTAAAAAACATAGTGGGTACCCTGGACTCAAACGACAGGTCGTGAGTGTCCCTTGTCAGAGATATTTAAATTGAAATTTTGAACTTGCTTCAATAGATTTGCGACGCATTTTCGTGTCACAAATAAGAAAGAAGTGGCCGAAACGTCGACAGCATTTTACACCACACCCTGCAGCCAAGCGTCATCAAACGCCAAATTGCCTCTAAAATCCCCGGAAATTAGTAAATGAGGACCTCCGTAATTAATTAGCAGGTGACAATTTCATTCAGTACTGTTTTGTACCCTAAATGGGATTTAATAATTGAATAAACCGCTCACCCTGTCATAATGATTGAGACAGAACGTTGCACCGAAGGTGCGGAATAAGCCGACAAAATAGATCATACATTTTATATAGTCTTGCACCAATTTGAATGCAATTTTGCCTCAATGGTGCAGAAAAATCCATCAAAATAGATCAATAATTTTTATGCAACGAGTAAGTTCCCAAGGCTTGTGCATCACTGTTGCAGAATTGCCTACGAACGGTCAGCGATCATTTTGAAAACTTTATGTCAAAATTATATGACTATTTCTCCCGGATATTCTGCACTATTGGTGCGTTTTGCATCCCATCCCCCAATTATTTCGCATCATTTTGTGTTACCGATTGTCAGATACCAACGGTGCTATTAATTTATTAAAAAAATTGATTCGGTTTGTTCAATACCAATGGTGCGCCAAACTTATTCAATAATGGTCAAGGGGATTTTTAATTAGCATCAATTGATACAAAAAACTCGTTAACAGACGGACAGACGGACAAGAGGAATTCAATAGCTCTGGTGCTACGCAGGGTGAGCTAATAAGTATAGCTGTCAAACCTTAAATCCAGAATACCAAACTCTGAACGAACGACTATGTATCCAAGATTACCGTAAATCCTCTATTGATTACCGGGGCTAAAATCCACGACTGTTGGTCACGGACCCGGCTAAATCTTCATGGGCCTAAAATTTTAAATGTAACAAAATCACGTGTAATTCATGTTGACCAAATTTTAGTTTTATAATTTAAAACGTTATGCCATCAGTAGCCCACTTACTTTATATCTGCATCTTTAAGCATAGTTTAGAAGGTTTTCGGAAAATTTTCTGTCATGATTATATCCATTATAAATTTGAAATTAATAGGTAAAAATTAGTAGTTGAACTTATTCGTTGATTAGCATAATGTGCAACGTTTTTCTTGAATGGGCTATGAAGGGGAACGCAACGGACAATACACGCCATAATTAAAGACCCGGCCATAATTAAAGACCCGCTTATAATTAGGTACCCGGCTAAAATTTTGGAATCTTGGTTTTCAGGCCCGGCTATATGTGGAGACCGGCTCTAATTGGAATAGGGCTATAAATAGAGGTTTTACGGTATACAGAGCAATAACATTTATTCTGGCGTCGTAGATACGTATTTGCGGAAATATACATACTAAAGTTCTCGACAAATATATTCATTAACATTTGGTTTTATTTTCTTTATCAGAATTCCCAATTAGAACACTCATCGCAGTACTATATCTCCATTTAGGAAATTTATTTTCACAATCAAAACTCTAAAATGAAGTTTAAATCATCAGCTTTATTAGAACTGCCCTCATCGAATGTTCCATTGGTTGTGAATATTTTTAAATTATTCAACTGCACCAAGATTGTTTCGGTGAAATTTTCCAAGAAATTCGGACTACCACATATCAGTTTGAAGACAATCTTTCCTCTTTCATTTGCCCTTTTCACTACTGTCATACATGTTTGTGGGGCACTAAATTGGCTACGAACGAATTGGCTGGCACCATTACCAAACTGGAAATATGTCCTCATTGCATACATTGGGTTTCTAAATGGAGTCATAACAATCGGATTGTTGCATTACGAAAGGGTGAGAAATGAGATGCTGACACTGCTAAATGCCTGCATCGATACAGAAGTGCGACTAATTTTGGAAGGTAAATATGCAAAAATAAAACCGGTAAATACATAGCATATCGTCGTACTAATTCATAAAAGACCTAAGTGCAGTCGATGCTAAATTCAGAAAAGACCTAAGTGCAGTCGGTGTTTAATTCAGAAAAGACCTAAGTGCACAGAAAAAAAGTGAAAAAAGACCTATGTGAAAGTATGTATTTACTTATGGCTAAATCGCGCGATATATAGGAAAAATCATTTTGGCAAGATTTAGCCATAAGTAAATACATACTTGCACATAAGTCTTTTTTTACTTTTTTTCTGTGCACTTAGGTCTTTTCTGAATTGAACATCGACTGCACTTCGGTGGTTTCTGAATTAAACACCGACTGCACTTAGGTCTTTTCTGAATAAAGCATCGACTGCACTTAGGTCTTTTATGAATTAGTACGACGATATACATATATGTAAATACATAGTTGGCCATTACGTTGGGTTATCAGTAAATTTAAATTTTCACTTAAATTTGTCTCGCATATATTTGATAATCGTCATGAACATGACAATTAACAATCAACAAACCGGCCACTATCGGTTCTATTAAAAATTAATGGACTTCAACAGAATGCTGAATTTGTAACAGAAACTCTGGAAATATTTACACACAAAACACAGATAGTAGGTGTAAAAGTTGATTTATACAATTTATAGTTTCGAACCAGTAAATTTGCGAACACTATTTTGATATACTTAACAATATATTAAAATTTCCCAATACAAAATAAAATATTGAGAAATTTATTGAATTTCTGTCAAAACCAGATTTCTTAATAGTAAGCCAACGATATATAATTTGCGCTTATGTATGTCTATATTTTTACAGGGGTGTCTGGCTATGTTCATCGGTATTTCGCTGCATTCTGCGCCATATTTGCATCAACCTTTATATCGGTTCCATGCGCAGTTTGTCTCATGAGTTTCTTTCTACCTTGCATGCCTCCCGTCTTGACCAGCACAATTATTCTAAAGTGTGAGGATTGGAGTCATGACGGAGAAGCAGGGTTGGTGATCAAATTTGTTATGGGAATGTACGAAATATACGCCTGAGTGGCAATCGTTGGTACTATAGGGATAGGTGTGTGTATCGGTTTACTATATCCCGTCGAGGTCAAACTTCTTATTCTGGATTACATTGAAAAGTAAGTGACAGCGTAATTTTATTGAGGTATTTATTGCTTAAGTAAATTTCATTTACATTTGTGGAATTTTTAAATACTAACAGCAAAGAGAGGGAAATTAAACTTCAAATTGGTAATTGCCATCTCTACAAGTACCGAGTGCTTCAGTTGATAAGTACCTATCAGAACAATACTTGGTGTCAACCGTCAGTTCCAGTCGGGATGGGAGGCGTTGCTGTGGGGGAAACTGTATCACTCTATATCTTGGTAACCTCGTACGACCAAGCACCAGTCATAATTCTGCTGTTGTTCTTAATCGCTGCTTTAGATTGTTTTGTGGTAATTCACATTGTCTGCAAAATTATAGCCAAGCCGTACTCTAAATCCTCCAATTTAATGGCATATATGAAAATGAGAAATTCCTCGAAATGGGTAAGACATTTTATGAGATCATGTCAGCCATCGAAGTTGTCGATGGGGGATGGAACGTTCTTTGACCAATTGACGCCTTTTGTAGTGTGGCAAAAATGTATCGACTTGTTAATTACATTACTACTCATGTAGACGGTCTAAGACCTCTTTCTATATATTTCTTAAGATGGCGTGAATGGTAATTAGTGATGTTGGTTTGTGAACATATAACGAAAAACACAGATTACATATCTATGTATTGTTAATACTGTTAATATTGTTAATAACATTTAATACTAGTTGTAAGATCGTCTGTTATTTATTTATGATGTAGAAAGAAGTGGGTGTAAGCTAATTAATTTGCCTTAAATACTTCATAACAGCATAAACAGATTTTAATTTTTTTAAATTATTTTTCGACTTAAGTTCGGTTTAAACTACAAGCCCGCTGTCACCCAGAACGATATTTGCATAATAAAATTTTTTATGACAAAAATTTTTTTATCGACAAGATTCCGTAATTTCTTAAAAGGGAGTTTTATTTATATTTCGCATATTTTCTTGATTAGTTTTCACCTAGTGTTTGATTTTTCATTTTACATACCTGTGACCTCGAAGATAGGGGGGTTGCCCTTTGCACATTTAATTTTGGTTTTTCTACGCCGTACCCTCGCACACATCTCATAAACACGAGCGCAATATCCTATAAATATTTCCAGAGTAAAAATACACAGCATTATACCTCCTTCCAATGCAACCACCATTATAAATACACTTGCAATATTTGAAGATATTGACTGCGGGTGAAATACAGTTGGGCCCATATTAGAAGCAGGGACTACGTTCAACCCTGCCACCAAATTTATCCACAAGTTATATATTCCAGCTTCCATCAATCTTCTCAAATCCGGCTGAATACTGAACCTCCCAAATTTTGAAAGTGTAGAAAATTGAGTGTACTTGCCAAAGTGTTTCTTGCTCTGTTTCAAAGGTTTCCTAGTTATGAAGGATTTCCACGTAAAGACGCGATCTATGTGCAGATCAATTTCGGCTGACCTCATTATAAAAATTGATGAATCACAGTTACTCAAAACTTCCCGAGCATCGTTAGTCGATTTCCATTCCAGCGATTGTATATTGTATTGGAGCGAATTCGTCTCAAAAAATTTCGAAATCTTTTTTGCAACGCCGTGCAATATCTGGAATACTTCCATACTGTGGTTCCAAATTCGATAACTAGGAAGATATGTATCGTAGCATTGCTTAAATTTGTGTAGGTCCGTTGATTCACACATAGTAAGAGCAGCATATTGTCGTTCCGTAATGCTGGTTCCGTTGTTTCCCAAGTAATTGTTCTTATAAAATATGGTATGTAAACTTCTTGCATATGCAGTTTATTAAGAATTCCTTTAAATTGTGTTCCAGTTGTTACATTGGCCATAAAAAGAAGGTGATGGAATGTCTGAAATTCTGTCACAGCGGGATCTGAATAAATAACTCGAAACATATTTTCTAAAATCTCGTCAAGCGTTTTTGGCGTTTCTTGCGTTAAGGGGGCAATAAGATCGTTTACGACAATACCTTTGTAACCGTTGCTTAGAATTATGCAAAATAGGACCCACATAGGCCATACAATTCTAAGGACACGAACTTTTAACAACCTCTTATTGAGGTCGGATATAACTTCAAGAATTGCGCTGAATAAGAGTGCCGCAGAATCCGTTAATGTTACATACCAACTCATAATTTTTCGGCTCCGTAATTGCTGCTCGTATACTGGCACAAATTGACACGAGAGTAATGAGAGTTATTATCGAAATCCAAACTTCCCCCTCGTAAGGACGATAATATGCGTCAAATCCGAAATTGTTTCCCGAAATGATCGAAGAACATGTAAGGGAGGAGAAACTTCTTTCGGTCCAGAATAAGACATCCTTGTCATTATTAACCAAATCTGAGTAATTAAGCAATAAGCGGCCTCCTATTACTTTCTGGTAATACTCGTTTTCGACAGATTTAAAATAATCCTCGCTAAACAGCTTTGTGCTCGTCTTAGATACCCTGGGCAGGATGTCCAACAACTGGTGTACGTTCAAATTCTTGTGCAATTTAATGATCCACACTAATATGTGCTTTTGTATGTCGTCTCCACGAATGCGGTACCAACCAGGATTTGTCGCAAAATGTTTCAGTGTAATTTCCCAAGTTTTAGGGACCCGGACGTTTTCGTAGCACCAGTTTGCATTGAGCAGATCAAGGTGAATACCGTTTTCTAGAATTTTTACACCTAACATGGCTTCCGTATCGCTGAAGATAGGTTTCAGCTTTCTCAACCCTTCTGCGTCAGTCGATACCGCTGAGCAACACCAATAATTGTAAGTCACGGCTATGCTTGAGACACTGTGTTCAAACGAAATTAGCATAAACGCTTTGTAATACCCCTTAGTCCAATAGAATCGGTTTTTTAATTGTTTCTGATGACGTTCGCTGGAAATGTGTCCTAAAACCAATCCGATATAGGTATGGGTAAAGTAATTAAGGTAGTTTTGGCTCGATGTATGAAAGATGTTTTGCCTCACTTTCCTAGCAGCCTTATCTAGAACGTTGTAATCCAAGAGATTACCAGCAATGAATATGATCGCTTTACAATTTAGTTTAACTTTTGTTTTACTGGTATCCTCGATACTCGTCGGGGATACTGATCGATTTCGTGTAAAGTATGGGAGAGGTAATTGTGCAGGTTTCGAAGTTTTTGCCAGGTGGATAAGGTACAAAGGTGCGATTTTTCTTATTAGTCTAACCTCAATTGAATCAATCGTATCCTTCGAAGAAGTAACTATGGTTACACGACAGTTTTTAAATACCAGAATACTATCTTGGAAATGCAACGAACTAATGACACGGAATTTTAAAAATGCTAAAATTAAAAACGTCCAAATTTTGTTCGTCATAATCGCGAAAAATTTCAGGTGTATTTATATTTTTTGACAATGATTAATTGCAAGTGTAAGGGTTTAGTTTAGCGATACTGCGAAGGACAACTGGTAAACAAGACGAATAGAAATGATACGTACATAAATAAATCACACTCTTAAACCGAGAAAATATGTACATAGTGTACAAAAATTATCTGACGGTCCCAAGAAATCGTACCACCCGCCACAAAACGTGCTAAAACTTTCTTGCTGTTATGCTCTCGGAGCTAATTTTTTTTGACAATGTCCCCCAGACCTTAATGTTCAAATGTGGAAAAAATTATAAAAATAACCCAACGTTTGGATGAAGGAGAACGTATTTCATAAATTCCTCAAAAATTTTGAGTTCCCCGACATATTGTCAAGTTGTGGAGGAACCGGAAGCCATCCAGAGACCCAATTCGTCTTAGATGACCCGCCGCATACTCGGCTATAAATGCAAATACGATTTTAAAGATAAGGTACCGAAAACTTAGTAGTTCGACAACAAAGCGTGCAGTGGTCATAAATCTCACAGATCGATTTTGACGATTTTGGTAGGAAATCTGTCCTTCCATTATCCAGAATCATGTCAAACTCAGTGACTGGAGTCACATAGCTTTCATGAGTCCCAAGATATCGTATTTTCAGACAAAAACATTCAACATCGACAAAATGTTGGCGACTTCCTCGAGCAAAATGGCTGTTTGACTACTGTTAAAAAAGGTGGAGATATTTTGCGTACGCAAAAGACCGGAATGAATGGTCATCCTGTGCGAATCTTCACTATACAAGGTACCAAATTGTGAAGAGAAACGAGGTTTCCGAGAAGAAGCTTCAATAAAACTGACAACCATTGATGGGTTGTAGTTGGCTCTGCTCCATTGGTGGGACCGAGCTGGACATCACATTGGTTTGTCAAGATATGGTCGGACAGTTTTCGGGTAGTCACATCTGCGGTCGCTTATCGTCTTGAGGAATTGTGTGTGGCTCGGAAAAAGCCCGGACGCAAACCGACTTGAACATTTATTGCCTAAACTTGAACGCAATGCGTTGAACAGACCAGTTCCACCCGATTGTGCATCCCTGACCCAACGTTTAAAAACAACTTTGAAAAAAATTCCAAACACTAGTTTGGAAAATCGATAATAAATTTTCAGGACAAGAGTTCAGGACTTGCAAAAATTGTCTGAGGATACACCAAATAGTGTTGTATTACATGATATAAACGATTTCGTCAATAAAAATTTCCTCGCGCCAAAATTCCAATAGTTGGAAACTGTACTTTGGACCGTCAGATAATTTTTTTACACTATGTACTAGTACATAAATATGTACATAGTCAAGAATCACCGCATTTCATTTAATTAATTCGGTCGATGTACATGCAACTTGAGCTGGAGAATCTCCCATATACCAAATAATTAATGACTTAAAAAGCTATGAATTTATTATACTTATTGTCTTCCCTATCGTGAATATAATACGATCTAGTAGCACGACCTCGGATTATACATGGGTACACAAGATAAATTCGTACGATAATAAATATATCCGTGAGTAAATACGTACGTAGATATACAGATGTACGTATGTACATGAAACTTAGAGTTTCGAACCACCCGAAATTGAATAATTAATGACTTACCAAGCTGTAAAGTTAGGTACATGTGGTGGCATCCATACGGTACGGCTGGCTGTGTGATGGTACGGCTGGCTGGCACGACCAACGATTTTGTATATGGAAATATACAATAAATTCACATAAATACATATGTATGTGTGTATTTACATAAATTCTTAACATAATCTTCATATTAACAAAGATATGTTCGTTTGTATTCATGTACATATGTCACATGTCGAAAATTCAAAGCAGTATTTGTATGTACATATATCTCTAACCATGCGATATTGAGAAGTGCAAAACTGCGATTTCACGAAAATTTAGTCCAAGTAGATAAAATTCGAGTTTCAGTATGATTCAATGAACTTATCGAAATATTCGTTGTCAAAGCCATAGCCACAGAGATACTGAAGACTACTGACCCCATCCGCACTCACTGCTTCAACCCAACTGCAGCCGCGACCCGACCAATGCAGTCCATCGCGAGAACAGTCCTGCACAATATCCAACATCTCAGCCTGCCCCCCCCCGTCGGATCATCCCACACCCTAAACTCGTTTTCCTTTTCGCCACCTAGCCTATCCCTGCTGCCGCCCCACGGCCACTCACCAAACCACACAACCAACTGGTCACATACGCAATATTACAATGATATTGATATTTAACTATACTGCAAAGCTTTTGTAACATTCATAATCAATCTACACTGGACAACTACATTAAATTATAACCATACCCCTTAATCTGAACTAATGCTAATGTATACGTCTGTATATAATTGTACCTTCGTGTGCCCTTAAGCGGCCCCAAAAGGATAGTAATAAATTCATTCACTCATTCAATCATTCATATATAACTACGCATGTAA